CACACCCACAGACACACACCCACAGAGACACACACACACACACGTAGTGAAAGTCAAGTGTTACATTTCGTATTTTCAATTAAAGTAAATGCGACACAAACTTACAGATTTAAGACATTTAAAGACATTTCCATTATTGTGTCTGCCTGATGATATATTGCTACTGACTTTCCAAGCAGTTGGGGGGGGGGGTTCAAAGTCTGAGACTATGGAACACCCCTCAAACTAAATCGAGACAACTGTCTGTGTTTGTTTACATTTTGGCAAATTGGCACTTTTAAAAGTATGCCAAATTAGCTATTAGCACTTCCTATTTGCAAAGCACCCATGGAGGTACAGACAACTATCACTGGATTACTCTGAGACTGAAGAAAACTTACAAAGGTGATGATTCTCAGTGACGTTCTGGAGAGATGAACACTGCCTTTTTTACAGACGTTTTCTGACGATGGACATCGGCAAGTGTGAGTCACACTCTAAAAATATGCGTCTGCGTCGTGCGTTTGATATGACTGAGTAATGACTGAAGTTGGAGGAAGATTTTTGCCGCAAATTGTGGCAATCAGGCACTAATGGCTTTGAAGTACCTTCATTTCCTCCATGAGGTGTGTGTCACAGCCACTACTGTGACTGCTGACTGTTGGTGAGTGGGCCAACACCTGCACGCACCTGCCTGTCACCTCATGCAGTATCATTACGTCATGTTGGACTCATGACTGACTCATAAACGGTTTTTTTCTGTAATGGTAATAATGGTTCTGTGTGATTAAACATTTGTAGTTCATTAATGTGATCAGAGCACCTTCACTTGCATGTTTGTATAGCTAACCTTTATCTCCTGTTGGGTTTGTTTTGTTTCATCAGCTTGACACTTTCATGACTTTTTTCAAATTTTCTGAGGAATGCTTATAAACATGATTTTGAACTGAACTGATGGTATGTTTCTAAAGACACTGACAGTAAATAACACATCACTTGTGTTTGGGGTGTCAGAGACCCAAGTTGATTAAATACATTGAATTTTTTGCTTTATGTGTGCGAGTTGCTCGTCACAATACTTTTTATGCAGCACTAAACTTCCCAGATCCCAGACTGGTCTATTAGGATTTATGTCATTTTAGTTTTAAAACCATTTGTACATAGGACAAACATGGACTTGGGCACAAGAAATGTTCTTCTTCATCGAATGTGCAAGCAAAAGGAAGGGTTATATCATTTTTTCCAATTATTGTTTTTATTTTTGCACAGCAGTGTGATCTGTGTGACTCCAAACAAAAAGGAAGTAAAGTCAATTTCAACGAAACACCAGTGTTAATGTGGCTGCACGATCTGTCTGACTGCAATCTGTTGCAGTGACTAAAAATGTTTACTCCTTCACATCTTTTCCCTGCTGTTCCACTAATCCATTGGTCTGTTGGCTCTCATATGACTCACCTATGTTTGGATGTTTCAGCAGACGACAGATTCTCGCCTCTCGCTCCAGTTTCTGGTGATCTGCGGAAAGACAAGAGCAGAGCGGAAACAGTCAACGTCAGTACCAGGAAAAGAAGCTATCGACATACGTGTAACTTTGTTCAACACGTGCGCTACAGTAACATGAATACCAGGAACAAAACACTTCTTGGAAACCCACTGAGTGAGTGGACACGAAGACCACACCGCCAACATAAAAGTATACAACAACACGGGCTGCATAACATTCACTAAATCTGACTGCACTTCATGTTGTTCAAACACTTGTGCAACATAGCATTTTGGAAACGGCTTCTTCTACATAACCCTTTAACAGATGTAGTGCTAATAAATAATAAACGACTTGTTCAGTTTTTCTACAGCAAAGATTTCTGCGTCTATTAAAACGTTCTATCTTGTTTGGAAGGATTTCAGAATCGCCTGCTGCAGCGACCATGTAAATTGATTAAACATTTTCTTTTAACTGTGCAGCTGTAACACATAAACACACAACAAACACCCTTTATTCAATTTCTCTCCAATCTCTTCTGCTCCTGCAAATCCACTCAGAACAACAGTCTTCTTCATTTTATGCGATTAGCATCAAGTCAATTTGAACTGGATGGAAGGCTAAAAAAGTAAGACGCACAGCAAAGCCAAACAAGCTAACAGGCCCAAACTGCAGCTTGTACAAGTGGACAGACAGCTACAGTATATACTGTACACACACACACACACCCACACACATTCCAACCTCCAGCACAAGCTTTTTGCACTTAGTGAAATTAGTCTTGTGGGTCCGGCATTAATATAATCAGTGTCCAGTTAATGATTCTAATGGCGAGGGGAGGATGTCAGAGTGTGTGTGTGTGTGTGTGTGCGTGTGTGTGTGTGTAGCTGCATGTTTAGCACAGACAGATTGGTTGTAGGTCAGATACAGATACAGTAGGTAGATACAGTGGATGTCGCAGGGTGTCAGAGGTCAAGTTCACACTGAACACTCGTGCCAGCTGCTGGTCTCAGGGGACAGATGGGCTGCTTACGTGAATGAGTTCCGCCTGTGTGCGCTTGTTTTTCTGTGTGTGCGTGACAGAGAGCGAGAGATACTGGACATCCCTAATCCCCTGTCCCATCGAGGTTTTGGGCAGTGTCGTGGTGTCTAGATTAGAACCATTAGTCCTGTGCCTAATATTCAATATATGGTCATCTGCAGATTATTTTGTTGTGTTTTGGTCTATAAAATGTCAGAATAGAGTGGAAAATACCGGTCATCATTTCCTAAAAGGTGACATATTCAAACTGTTTTTTGTCCAAAATTGCAAACTATACAATTTAGTATCAGGTAAGGCTAAATATATTTAAATATTAAAGCTATAATAGGTAACCTTTCCACATTAAAATGTCTATAAAACACTAGAGCTATGTTATATATTCTGTTGAGTTGTATACTTACATTATCCCAAATGATTCCAACAATGTTGAAAGCCAGTAAACACCTTCATTACATTCAGGTAACCGTGCGTTTCACCAGTCACCTGTCAATGGTGTCATATCCTCTTTGCACACAACTTTTTAATCCGGTTTTCAGCCACAGTAAAGTAAATCTGGTAAAAATTCTGGTAAAAACCTGGAACGTCCAGATCTTAAGTTCTGAGAGGAGCAAGCTGAACTAACGTTAGCAGCAGCTTGGCTGGCAGGCCCAGGCTTGCCAGCTCCTCTAGGATGCATATCCTACAACATGACTGCAAAGTCAGCAGGTACTGGGTACTAGTGAATCACAGGCGACTAACTAAATTGCACAGTAGCACATATGCCATGATAGTGCTATTGTAATCATCTGATTTTGCAATGTCCTCAAATATATTTTCATAACAGCAGCTTATGGAAACAAGCAATGATTTGCATTTCATTTCAGTGACTTCTTGGAAATAAGAGAAGGAGCCTTGTTAAAACGTGTCAGGAGAAAATACGTATGGTGACAAAGTTCAGTCTTGATGAGTCATCATCAGACTTAAGTAAAGGCTGTGAATCATAGTGTGAAGCCAAACATAAATGCAAACGGGAGTCAACACGTATATTCCCAATCATTAGCAGTTCTGGTGGCAGAGTTGTCAATCACAGTAGCTTAACTACGTTTTACAATTGTGGCAGCAGTCCTGGTCAAAACCAAAAATCCCACACTAAACTGATGGAGTTTCATGCAATCAATGAACCCAGCTAATGGGGTGGAGGTAACCCAGAGGTTAAAGGAGGTTTTAGTTTGCTCAAATCCCCCGACTGGCTGGAAAAACACGGCCAGGAAGAGTGGTTAGGAAATACTTCCTTCCTTCATAGCAAACACTGAGGGGCCTTCAGGAGCAGTGGAAAATCAATTCCATGACCACCATATAAATATGTAAAATGTGGTCTTGTGTGCATACAAAGCATTAAAAACGCATGACAATTAATCTGCTGGTTTGTAGTAGCAGACTAAACTTCTCAAATGTGAGGATTTGCTGCTCTTCACTGTGTTAAGGTTAAGATTTGGTTAGGTTTAGGGACAAAAACACATCTTGGTGATGTTCATGAATTGTCACTCTACTCTTTAGGTTATCTGTTAAACATTGGACAGTTAAAATGTTTAAAATACATAAAAGGATGGTAAAGTCACTTCTTAATTAGCAGGGTAAAGGTTTGTGCATTGATTTCCTATTAAATCCATTGTCTTAACCACCAACAAGCTCCTGCAGGAAAACACAGGAAGGGATTAAAACACTACCCTAAAACTGACCTCAAACCTCTGACCCACAGTATACAGACATGTGTACATGCATTTATCCAGTTTAATTCAATATCCATGTTTTGGTTTAGACCTCTCTCTCTCTCTCTC